TTGATTCCGTATACGTTTACAGTTTACGATTATTATACATACCGTGTTTTAAACGATATATTATACGTTTTTTATATACATCCTATGGTATATAATTGTAAATTTTTCTACGTTTAAATATAGTTAACAATATACGACTATTTTTAGTTTGCGATGAACTATTTATATACAGTGGGCCTAAATATACGTTTAGGTTTATTTAAATTAAATTCGTATAAAGTTACATTATATTACAATATGTTTTCTTCGTTTATAATTCCCGTTTTAATTTCGCCTTTGTTGATTTTTTAAACGTTTACCATCTACCATTTTTATACTTAACGTTTTTTAACAGATAAATTAAACGCTTTTGTTTGTCGATACGAGTTAATATACCTATATTATTCTACGTTTAAATATAAGTCACCTTAAACGCATAATACCAGTTTACGATGAACTAGTAGACAGAAGTAAATAATATGTATATATTTAGGTTTATTTAAATTAAAAGCTTATAGATATATTTATTTGCATTACATCCATATATTTTTTAATTATATTACCTGTAATATTTATAACAAATTCCCCATACAAATGGAACTATTTTTAGATGGCGGATGGAGGATGACGTACTAGTGGTACGGTCTTTTCTCATTTCTACTCATGCGTATGTGTAGTATTATTGTTCATGTTCAGTGTAGGGAATGGTTTGTGTGAGCAGGTTCATCGGTTCGTCCATTTTCATTTGTGTACACGTTTTGTTGCTTTGGCGTCCTGGGCTTTTACGATATTGATTAAAAGCATAGGTAAGTTTCTATTAATGTTTTAATTTAACTACTCCTTTAATAATTGTTGCATTTTACAACAACTACTGTTTTATAGGTACGTACACTGTGTTAAATGCTTATAGAAACTTCAAAACCTAACCTTACTTTTGTTTCTTTTATTTTTATACGTATTTTTTAGGTTACCTAGTTATTCCAAGCACACTTATTTTCCTTTTTTTTGTCAGTTGTTTTTTATTTAATAAAATGTCCAAAATAACCCTGTATCTGCGTCATCTAAGTAGAAAAATAGCGCAAAATGTTCAAGATGCTTTAAAGTCAAATCAATTTTTTTTTTATTCGCAATGAAGATAACATTCATAAGGCTCCGGACATTAATATATCATTTGATTCTATTATTTATAATAATTTCCAAGAAAATAATACAAATTTAACTTTTAGAAAATATTTCACCTGAAATTTAGTTACATTTTGATTATAGGAATGGGGGTGAACCAAGCGACTTAACCGACCGAATGATTAGGTGTGCCATGCAAGATTAGCTTAAGTTAGCTAAGGCCCGTCTAGGACACAACACATCCAAAGTGTTAAGCTAAGATTTTTATTTTCATATATATTTTTTGTTAGTTAAAGAAAAGTTTCGTTTAGTTTGTTATTCAGTATTTTAGTGTTCATTTTTTTGTATTTATTTATTTTTTTTTTTATTAAATATTGTTATGTATATACAATTACAACCAAAATAGAAACACGAGTAATGCCTATTTCTGGTGTATACACACCTGCTATGGATAAAATCCAAACTATCATTTAAGAAATATTAACATTTTTCTGGCCTCTTTTAGAAATTTTGTTTTGATCACTTTATTTATTTGTGTTTGAAATACATTATTTAAAACAATGTCAGGACGCATTTTACACATTAATAAAAATCATACAAATATATCTAATATAGACGTATAGTAAAACAGGATAATTAAAGGTAGATAAAGTAGTAATGTTAGACGTATAAAAAATAAAAAAATATACGTTTATAGAGCGGACATTTTCACGTATATATTGGGTAGCATATCAACAGTATCCATACGTATATTGTAGTACATAAAAAAACGTATTTTATACCAAAGTGAATTCGTATAAATATACTACAACTATAAATCTAATATAGACGTATAGTAAAAACGTTTAATTATAGGTGGATAAATTCTTAGTAATCGACGTTTATAAGGCGGACATTTTCACGAATATATTTGGTAGTACATCAACCGTATTCATACGTATGGTAGTACCTAAAAAAATACGTAATTTATACCAAAGTGTGCTGCCTGCGAAAGTATAGCTTTCAAAAGCAATATAAAGTAAGTATACCAGACAGGGAAGCATGGACGGGAGGAACTCCTGTTCATGCAGAATTCACCTGGTATACAGACGGCTCCAAAACCCATGAAGGTTCAGGAGTAGGCATATATAGTACCAAGCCAAAGACAAGAATCTCACCGAGCTTAGGTAAACATGCGACAGTATTCCAGGCAGAAATAGCAGCAATACATCATTGCACAAAAGAGGTATTAAGACAGAAGGTAAATGGAAAAACCATCGTCATATACTCAGACAGTCAAGCGACGTTAAAGGCACTCGGTTCCATGCAGGTACAGTCAAAGCTTGTGTGGGACTGTTTGGAAGCCCTAACAGAGCTGGGTAGTCAAAACAGACTAACCTTAGCCTGGGTACCAGGCCACAGAGGACATAAGGGCAATGAAGAGGCTGATTTACTAGCCCGAGAAGGAGCCTCAAAGGCTCTTATTGGCCCATAACCCTTCTGTGGTGTAACAAAAACAACTATCAGACCATGCACAAAGCAGTGGATGTTTAAAAAATCTCAGAAGTAGTGGAAAAACTCTCCAGGACAGAGACAAGCCTTAATAGGAAAAATAATAGAGTACTAGTAGGTCTATTAACTTTACTTTTTTCCTTTTTTAAATGAATATACTTAAAATTAATATTTAACGATTATAATTTTTTTCCCGTGGATATTTTAACAGGCTTGTTTAGAAAAAATAGTACGAAAAATATGGCTGATACTGACGCATGCGCACAAACAAAAATTGTGATGAAAAGGCCTATAGTTTAACACGACTCAAGAGTAGTGGTCAGTTTTGCCGTTTCGATACAATTGTACTGAATTCAGTACGAAATGATTACATTCAGTACTTCAATACAAAAACCACGAAATTCAATAAAAAATGCGAAAATTAGAAAAAAATGCAACATTTGCAGCGTTTAGATAAACAAATCTATATTATAAATTTATTTATTGATTTTATTTTTCATTTTGGTCTATTAATTAATAATTAAAACTAAGACAGATTTTTAAACTGTAAAATGTAAATTATTAAATGTGTGTACTGCCATTTATCAGTAAAAAGACAAATAACTTGGCTTGACATTACAGGGAAATAACCGAAATAATCTTTGGGGTAGGTTTGGACGTACTTATTAGTTCTCCGTTCTATACTTCTCTAACTCTAATGTTCAGTTGCAATTTGTAATCGCTGCAGCTTTGTGTTTATTGTTATTGTGTTCTGAATAAAATAGACAGTAAGAAATAATTTGTTGTTAATAAATAAAGCCTGGTTTCTCATAAGAAAATATAAGTGACTCAGAAATAGAACTAAAAATATATTGATATAACGGATCTACTCTAAAAATTTTATATTCAGTACATTTTTTCCCAATTCAGTACATTTTCCAAAATTTTTCAGTACAATTTTAAAAATCGTCGCGACAACACTTTGGTAGTGGTATAACAGAGATAAGACAAATTAGAGTTACAGAGTTACTTTTTAGGTACAACGTAAAGAGATGAATATTAAAATTCAGTTTCAAATAGCAGTCTAGTATACAGGGTGTTTCCGAACTTGGCGTCCAAATTTGTAGGGGTGGTAGTTCGCATAATTTGAGACCGATTCGCAGATTTCATTTTTCCAAAATATTTAAAATAAAAATAATTAAAAATTTTAAACAGGTACGGTCCTGCACAGCGATGGGACGCCTCGACTCCCGCGCGCTACGATCGAATTATCCGTAAGTTTGCTTAGAATCGATGAGTAACCGATCGGGTGACTATTGCGCTACGCGCTCAGGGTAGGACCCGCTCTTTGATTTTTTTATAATGGCTCTATTTTGTTTATTATAATTTTTTTAGAAAAATGAAATCTGCCAATCGCTCTCAAATTATGCGAACTACTACCCCTACAAATTTGGACGCCAAGTTCGGAAACACCCTGTGTATATATATATATTGTAATGATATCGTACTTAATACAATTTTATTTTTATTTTAATTAATATATAATATTTATTTACCTCAGCTTGCCACTTTTTCTTGTAATTTGAACAAAAGATTTTCTTTATCTCAGGGGTGCTTCAGATTTATTAATATTAATACTTTTTTTAATTTTATTTTATTTTATTTTAATGTATTTTTTATTTTAATTTATATTTATTTATTTAATTTTATCAATAATCAATAAAATAAAAAAAATAAAACTTATGAGTTAATTATCTTTCTACCCTGTATAAACAACTTGAAATATTTCCTTATATTTATGAATATTAAATGGTACTAAAATATCCAACAGTTTGTTTAAAATTATGGACAGAATATTCTTGACAAATAAACCAAGGGCAATGATTTTTAAAACTACTGTGAGTGACTTAAGTGTTTTTTTGTACAGCCATGGAATTTTTGTTTTTATTTCAGTATTTTGTGAGCGATTTAAATGTTCATGTTTTAGTTTTTTTATGTCACTGCTGCAATATAAAATATGTTCTCTATGTACATTTACTAATACCTTCTGTTTACATTACATTTTTACATTAACAATGTTATTTTAATCTCCCTTTAACACAACGTGGAATCGGCCCTTAATGACCTTTACCTTTTCAATATATAAATCCGTAGTTAATGAGTTTGTAACATTATACCTAAATCGATATTTATCGCAATTTTGCAAAAAATATCGAGTTTGTGTACAAAGTTACAAAATTTCATTGCTAACAGTTTTTCAATGCCACGATGAAACATTCACCAGGTTCAATGCTACCGCCAAAATTTAAATGAAGAAAATCTGCATTACCGGTAAGTCTCTAGTTCGCGCTCATTGCCAAGCGCGTCGCCACAGTCAACGCGCATGGAACATAATTTCAGATTTGTATTACGATTGTCATTCTGGTAATGTCTTCTCTCTGGTGGTATAATGTCAAACTCAAAGCGAGATGTCAAATTATTCTAACCTAACCTAAAAAAAATTAGTCACATTTGAATTAAAATATACCAAAAAAGGATTAAGAAATAAATATATTAATTAAATTTTAAACTAAGTACAAAATGGAAAATATATCTTCATTGTCAGGTGTCCAAAAAGATGAACTTATGGATCAAGTTAAACAGCAAATAGCAGTTGCAAATGCTCAGGAACTTCTCACAGTAAGGTACTTAATTACCTTAATATAACTAAAATAACAATTATATTTTTTTAGAAAATGACAGAAAAATGTTTTAAAAAGTGTATATCTAAACCCGGAACTTCCTTAGATAGTTCAGAACAAGTAAGTTGAAATGGGCATGGTTTTGAAAATTTTAAATGTTTTACTTTTCGCCAAATATTTTGGGAGATTTATTTACTTCTGTAGGCCTTGCTGCCTTTATTTATTAATTCCTAATGTACCTAAATGTCCTAAAATTATATTATATTTCAGAAATGTGTAGCAATGTGTATGGACAGGTATATGGATTCATGGAATTTAGTATCTAAAGCTTATAGTCTGAGAATTCAAAGGGAAAGAAGCCATATGTAAATTATTGTAAATAAAAATAAAGTGGATATCAGTAAATAACTTTTTTACTGAGATTTACCAGTAGTTCTAGCTAGTTACATAATTTTTTTCATATATGTTAATAAATAATTTTGTTTTTTTCTGTATTTTCATTTTGATACTATATTTGAAGAGTGGTTGGGCTAAGTGATCTAAGTGCCATAATTAAAAATTGCCAGAAATCAATAAAACTGAGGAGATTATCATGCAGAACATACAGGCAACCTCCGCCTTGAATGTCGGTTTCAACCACTGCAATGAAATTAGCACTTAGATCTTTTATTTGGACATTAGCACATAAAAAAAAATAACAATTTGGCACTTGGGTCACTCAGCCCGACTACCCATCATTTATAATTTCGAGAAACTTAAGTACCTAAAATTTTAAACTAGTCTTGTTTTAGTCTCCTATTTTCTAAAAAAAACATCCTAAATCCAAATGCTTTTCATATAAATATTTAGGATATAGAACCTCACGTTAGATTTAATGTACATAATGGGGTCTATTCTGTAACAATTCCTTTATATTTTAACGGCCGTTAAAATATTAAAAATATTTTCGTATTTACTAAATTACTTCTGTCATTATTTAAACGGATTTCTTTAAAATACATTAGAGAACTATTATAAAGAAATCCGTTTAAATAATGACAGAAGTATTTTTAAAGGCCGTTAAAATATAAAGGAATTGTTACAGAATAGACCCGATTGTCAGTAATAATTACTACTTGTTTAATAAAAATATCTGTAGGGTAAGCAGATATACATATGGGGTTACAATTGAAAAAACGTACAATGGCTATATCCCATGAACTAAATATGATCAAAAACTTAAATAAGAAAATAAAGAACTAACCTTATCAAACCGCAACGCACCACCTTCCTAGGATTACCAGATTTTAACTTTGCGAAACCAGGATACTGCTTGAAAATATCTAGAAATTACTTTTGATATGCATAAAATCTACATACGTATTACTTAGTTTCTAATATAGCTTTTTACTTTCCTATCTGTATACAGATATAAGGAAAGTATAGGAATCAGAATAGACCACATAGGGGTCTATTCTGTAAAAATTCCTTTATATTTAACGGCCTTTAAAAATATTTTCTTCTTTAATTCGGTCACTATTTAAACGGATCTTTAAAATACATTAGAGGACTATCTTAAAGAAATCTGTTTAAATAATGACAGAAGTAAATTAACGAATACGAACATATGTTTAAAGGCCGACAATATTTTTAAAGGCCGTTAAATATAAAGGAATTTTTACAGAATAGACCCCATTGCCATTTAAAATTTCTAGAAAAAGTATCAGAGATAATCATTATGACGATTATCTCTGAAACATTTCTTATTATAAAAATGGCAAATAAATTACTTTCATAATCAATTTGTGTTGATGTTAAACACATATTTTAGCATAAAATGTTGAAAAAAAGACTACCAAACAAGTAAATATTTTTGTTTTATTTATTTATATATTTTTAAGAAAATCACAACTTCATAAGGCACAACTTTTAAATAATGTAACACAATGTAAGTACAAAAAACTTAACTTAAAACGGTAAATAAATTAACTAACTTATTCTCAGTATGAGGAATGTAAAGCAGTACTTCTAAAAACCTAAAGACTAAAAAGCAAACATATAATTTTCTGTGATTTGATAATAAAAAATCCAAACGAGATCCGTATATGGATATACAGATTCCAATTTATGGTTTTCCCAGAAAAATACTTGTATTTAAGGTATTTCAGAAATGTCCTTATTTTATACTTTTTCAGAATACTATTTATGACTGAAGGTACTTTATGACACATAATTGTTTTAAAGCATTCTTCATTCACGTTCAAATCCCAGTAAATTCGATCTTGTAGGAATGCAAAAAGGGTATTTAATCCCTCAATCAATTTCCATCTAACATACTCATTAAACATTACTTGTTGAAAAAAGTTATTTACGAGATAAAGTAGTTAAAATCATTCTAATAAAAAGTTACAATATCGAGAGTTAAAATGACATTTATTCATAACAGAGCTGGGGAGGATTCGAATGCTTTATGAGGATCCGAGGAAATCCTAAAGGATTCGTATTCGAATCACCATATTTGTATCAGGTCCTTTTAGAGACCAAACTACGCCGGCGCGAACGGCCGCCTCAAGTGTTGACTTGTCGCAAAGTGTAAACCATAACTGACTGAAAACCGATGGTGAATAAGATAAACGTAAAAATCTACAAATTATCATTGAATATCCCACATTAAAAAAAAAATCATAAAATTTAACACTTGCCTTCCTTTTTCTGGTGTATCCCAACGATTATTTTCGTTTGCAGGTATAATCGACGCACCTCGAAGGGAACGGCCTGACCTGACAGATGAAAACTTTGAAATTTTTGTGCTATGTAAGGCCAACCAAAAGACATTTTTTCAAAAACTAATTTTAATTCATTGTTTATTATTTTGTTTTGTGTATTAAAATAAAAAATATTTTTTTGGTAACAAAATAGATGTAATTTAAAATTTTTTAAAATGAGGTTAAAAATATGTATAAAGACGAGGACTGGCAAAACTTCAGGTTCACTATTAGTGGCTTAATTTATAGAAATTTGCAATATATCTCCAATATTAGATTCGGAAGCATACATAATACCATGGTATGACAGTGATTCGTATTCGTGATCCGAAAAAATGGATTCGAATCACTTGATTCGATCTTTTTTTGTAATGAGGATTCGAAACACATCTCGTGATTCGGATTAGTGATTCGAATCTATTTTTTGAGGATTCGGCCCAGCTCTGATTTATAACAAACAAAAATCCCTGAATTACTACCACTAAAATAATTATAAAACGCTTTTAAATGTAAAGTATGTTAGACCAAAGATAATTGGAACAGGATGAATTCACACTTTTCCATTCCTACAAAACAGTTAATTTATTTATAATTGTAAAATCTAGTTTTAATACTACATAGTTCATAAAATCAAAACGTTTTAGGAACTAAGTTGAAAGTCTTTTAAAATATAATTCGATGTAAATTTAATGTCAATCTTTTTTGGAAGAATTGGTAAAATACGAAAAATGTATCTGCTTGAAGGTGAACGACTGACGTAGTCTACCCATGATTACAAAAACGATTGATCACTAAATTCTTTAATAATTAACGACAATACATGCAATTACGGACGGTGCTTAAAAATTATCCATTAGAGTAACAAAAAAAAAACATACATATAATTTAAGAAAATTCGTATTTCCAATATGGCCTATAATAGTTCAAACAGGTATTATAAACATTTTTAATATAAAAAAAATAAACGCTCCTCAAAACCGGTACTAATAAATCTAAATAAATGTTAATATTTCCATGTAATTATATATTTTGTCAAGGTACAGAAAAATACTATCAATTTTTAAACAATTGAGCAATATTGCATTATGGCAAACTCATGGTAAGTAAAAAATAGGTGATATTCCCGAAAGTAATGAATTCCTTCAAGGCACAGGTAGGTAGTTAATTTTTTTCAGTTTTTCCAATAATTAAAATCTTTACAATATACCTACCGAAATGTAAGATATTGGTATTGGCTGATTTTGTTTACATTTCGAGAATATAATTACGTGCCCCAAAGATTATTAGAAGAGCGTGTTATCTAAAAAAAAAACAAAAGAATGGATATATTGAACAAAGCAGATATTTTAGGTATTTTCGCTTACAATATAATCGTTGTTCACATCACTTTTAGAAAAATTAAAATGTATACAACCATACCATTTTCAATATAGACCCTACTTTCGTTACTTTAATAATAAACGTAAGTGGGTATTTTTTTCTATTTTTTTAATTTACAGATTCTTACGTATGTTTCCTCAACACATTTTAATAAATAGTCTTTTCTATTACTCTAAATACCAAAATGTATCAGTACGTGCAAAAAGAATGCGCCTAGAGACAAACCAATAAGATCAAAACGTATCCGTATTTCGGAAATCGCCAAAAATTCCTACGATTTCGCCGGAATCTACGAGCCCTAGCCACTATATGTTTCTATTTGTGAGAGCATGACGCACCATGATCTTCATTTTTTAAAAAACAGTATCTAATCGAAAGATAAATGACCATTTAAATGTTCGAACAATATCCTCCGCAATTATTAAATTTAATGTTTCGAGAGGCTTTGGAATTTTTGACGTTTAGAATTTTTTACGTGTTTTACGCACATAATGAAACACTAACTTATTTTGTGGTTTGACGTTTTAAGTTGTTGAAAATATGGTTGAAAATGTGACGGTATATTTGTATCATGGGTCGCGGTAAAGCAACTCTAAAAAAAATTAGGGATTTAATGATAAACAAATATAAACATAAGTTTCCTAATACATATCTGAAATAAAATTATGAAAAGGCGGAACATATAGTGATTAGGGCTCGTGTATATTTATACCATTTTGATGATTTTGAAATGAACCATAGTTTTATGTGATTTCGCCGAAATTACCCTTAATTTTATAGGATTTGGGCGATTTTGCTAAAATCATTACATATTATAATATCCATATTGTACTATTTCGGGAGGGTAATATTCAAAAGACCAAACCCGGACACTCCGGGTCCACGCTGACCAATTCAAATTATATTGATTTCGGGCGCACGGAATATTGATTTCGAACTTTGATGATTTCGGCCGTTTCGAAAGATTTGTAAGCGATTTCGGGAGAAAACGTACCAGTATAATGATTCACCCCTCGGAATGCACTATGTTGAGGGCCCACCCCTGTGAACTCAAACAAAGAATTGGAACAATATTGAGATTTTGAAAATTTTATAGTAGGTATATTTATAGACAAGTGTAAGTTTAAAAACGAATCTTGAATCTTCTCTGAAAGTAAAAAATGTTATAAGTATCACTCATTTATTCATAACTAACTTCAGTAAATACGCTATATTAGTGTGATGTAATTTGTGTTCCACCAGTTAACTTTTAATAAAAACAA